TCCTGGCCGCGCTCCCGCCGCCGAGCGCGCACCCTCGCCGGGACACAGACGCACACTCACCGACACACTCGCTCCCGCTCGCCCTCGGCGGAGAGTTGAAACAGATGTGGGATTCGCCCAGGAGCTGGAAACGAGGGAGGGACGCGAGCCAGAGCCGTGTGTGCGCGCCTGTGTGTGTGTGTGTGCGTGCGCGCCCCACACAGACGAGGGGGGCATTTTTAATAAATCAAATATCGTAATAAAGTCGGGAGGGCCATCGATCAGGTCCGATTGGCCGGAACGAAGAGAACCCTTGCTTCCTTTTCGCTTTCTTTCTCTCCTCCCCTGGCACTAGAAGAGCCAAGTGTTTCTTGGGGCGTGAGACAACCCCCCCCACGCTCCCCTCCTAATGACACGTTAATAAATGTTTTCTTTTATCTGCTTCCACTGGGGCTCACCCTGCTCTGCCAACGCCCGACTGCCTGTGCTGAAAGCCCCGCGCTCGCCGGTATCTACACACATTTGCCTTTGGAGACACCGGCTCCGGGCCAGCCCCAAGCTGGAAGGCTGGGAGAGCTGCCCACGCGCCCGGGACCTTCCCACGCGCCTAGGAAGTTCTCCGAGAAATCCAGTTGAGCTGAAGTGAGAACAGCGGCGGCGTTGCCCAGAGATGGCCCGAGAATAGGAAAGAAAGGAGGAACCGGCTTCCTCCGACAGGGAGGAATTCGACTCAAGGTGGTGCTGTCTGCCGAGATTTCCACTGTCCCCAGCACCAGAGCCCAGGCCAAGGGGGACGGGGCTGGAAAGGGGTGAGCCTAGAGCCTTCAGAGACCCAACCAGTAGCTGCAGAAAACGCAGCTGAGCTGCCAAAGGGAAACATTCTTCTATAGAAAAGCACTCATGGGCAGTAGTAACCCATCTAAACCGAATACACGGAATCTTTCGTGGCATTATACCCATTTTACAGGCGTGGATGCCAAGACGTGGGGTGGTTACATTACTGGCTCAAGATCACACGATTATAAGTGATGGATCTGGGATTTGAACCCAAGAAGCCCAGGTCCGAACAATGCTCTTAAACCCTAGCCAGTGGTGGTGAGTCTGTGGCACGGATGCTGCGGTGGGCTGTTTATCATCAAAAGCTCCAAAGGTTTGCCGTTACTGCCCCTAGGTGATAGTTACTCTTAACCGTGCTTAGAGTCATCAGATTTAGTAGGTAAAAATACAGGATGTTTATGGGGATATGCTCATACCAAAAATTCTTTGTTTTTAAATCTGAAAGACAAATGGAGCACCCTGAGTTGGGGGCACCCTATACCCTTCCCCTTCATCTGCCTCATCCCAGATTAATCTAGAGTCCAAAGCAGAAAAATCCTTGAACTTGCTTTTCCAAGTTACCTGCTGGCCCCACTGTAGGGGCTGATTTTGCAGCACAGTGTCATGCTTGTTGTTTCCCTCTGTCCTCAGAAGGAAGGTCCGACCTACTGGGGTACTGTATCACAGACGCATGCTGCATGCAGGCCATGGATGTAATTGAAAGTTGTCTAGTATTAGCATTACAGGGTTAAAAAAACAACCTCAACCAAGAAAACCAGGTGGCATTTTTTCTAATATAGCTTATTTAACCTTATACCCAAAGCATCATCTTTGCAGCATACATATTCAATATAAAAATCATTAGTGAGTTTTTCTACATTCCCTTTTCTTAATCTTTGCATGTGATGCGTAAAGTCTCTCTCCATCTGGATAGCTGCATGCGGCTTGGGTTCCGGTACTGGACAGCCCGGCTGCGATTCAGCGGGCAGAGGGGCCTCTCATGTCATTCTCTTAATGATCTTTCAGGAAAACAGATGCTCAGAGAAGTCAGGGATCTTGTCTGCAGGCAGAGTTGGTAGGTGGGCTTTTAACCCACCGGAGACGGAGCCTGTCTGGGGCACGTGTATTCCACTACAACAGCAGTTTTCTAACTGGTCCTCAGAGCCCCGTGGGGACCTGGGATGGGAGAGGGGCAAAGGCCTAGGGGAAGATCTGCAGCCCACTTGCTTTTATGTTGGGTTCTGGAAAATGCTTCAGCGATGGGAGGATTTCCACCACAGAATGTTCAAACACCGCTGGGTCACCACACATGGCGGGCTCTCCCTTCCCCATGTGGGCCCTGCCCACGATTTCCTCTGTCCTTTTCTCTCTTCCCTGGAGAACCTCAGCAAGGAGGGGCTGTGTGCAGCCTCAGAGGGAGTCACTTGATTATCTCTTGGATATGTTTTCTCCCCATCGTTGCTGTGGAAAGAACTAAGTGGTGATGTCTGTGTTTTGCCTCTGACCCTCCCGTAGGGAGGAGAAAGGGAAAGATCTGGCTGCTAAGCATGTCCCCATAAACATCCTGTATTTTAACTTACTAAATCTGATGACTCTTAGCACAGTTTGTGTGTCCCACGTGAGAGCCACTCAGCAGGGCAGACACCCGTGGGGCCGGAACATCTGCAAGGCACCTCTGGCCATTTGTCTTCCCATAACTCTCAGCAAACCCCACAGTTCTCCAGGGCCAGGTCCCATTTAGGGTTCAGTGTCTGTCTGGAGATGGGCGGGGCCTCAGGGCTCAGGTGTCCCCCAGCCTAGGGAATTGCTCAGCCAGGGCCTGGGACAGCCTTTCTGCTCTTGTCTCCGTCGAGCCCCCATGACATCTGTCCCTGTGATGGTGCTGGCTGGGTACTCCAACAGGGCCTTTCAAGCCCCTCGGGCAGCCCCAACTGTCCCCATTGTTGGTTTAACCTCAGGGGACCTTTCTCCTGAATCCTGTACGCCTCATTTCTCCCTTTTGCGAACTCCTCTGTGGCCGGCTGCAGGATGCCTGCTTGTCCCATGGAGCGGGCTGAACCCAAGTCACTCTGGCATTTCCTTGGTTCACACTAGCAACAATGAAAACAACAATCTTGCTGTGTGTTTTTGCTTCTCATCCAGAGGGTGACACTCAGTTTGATTGTCCGGGCCCTTCTGGCTGGAGCTAGGTTGGAGTAGATGGGATTTTATGAGGGTTGTAAAAGGCAACCTTTTAACATGGCTCAAACAAATTGGTGTGTAAAGGAGAAACATTAAAAGCAGAAGGGCCCGGGCAAGCAAGCCTCAGAGCTGGGCACAGGTGGCTTTAATAATGCACGCAAGTCTGGCTGGAACTTGCCTCTCAAGAGCTGAGGAGCCCGCAGCCGTCCTGGGAGGTGGGGGGTGGGGGTTTGGGATCAGACTTCTCAGCTCCCGAGTTGGAGACGGTTTTGCATGGGTTTTAAAATACCAATTCCAGTTTCATCCATAACAATATAAATGCGTGGTTAATTCTGCTGAATTTTCAGTTAGACCCACGCTGTCTTGTCAGTAGAAATGCGCTGGCACTGGAGAAAAACTGTTTACATGTCTTGAGATATTGTGATAATGAAAAACAGCTCCATAAACCCCCATTAAGTCAGAAGAACACTAATTGTATTTCATGCTGCCTCCCTGGGCCAGCATGTGGACAGAGACATGCTTTACTTCAGCAAAACCCAGCTAATCTTTGCAGTGTGCTACCCATTTCCCCTTTAATTACATGTAATTGTATCATCTAATTTATTCTAACGCCTGACGCCTAACAGTGCACATTTATGAATCAAGGGTTAGCTGGGGAGGGTGAATTATAAACACCTCTAATTGCAATCTCCTGGGGGCTGCTTATGAGTGATCTCAAAGGGTGATGATGTTTATTCTGAATCCTTCCCCGGGAAAGACTAGTAGGGTTGTCTCCAGTGAAGACACTGTTCAAAGAAGACAGATAACAGTGGCAATTTGTCTAGTTGCTTAATGACACACCCGTGGTTCTCTTGGATAAACAGCCAAGAGAGTTTAAACATGTGAAGTCTGCATCATCAGTGATGTGATAACCGTTCACGCAGCAGTGACAGTACATGCACCGCCGGGTGTGACAGAGGGCAGCATGGCTTGGGCGGCAGAGCTGCGGGTCTCTGCGGACAGGGGAGAGCTCGGGATCTTTGTTAAAGGGGAAAGCAGGACCCATTTGACCGCTCGCTGGTGGAGTTCAGTTTAGGGTTCTCTCTGGGACAGCACCTCCAGTTTTAGGATCACGTTGCAAAAACATCACCTTTCAGCTTTGATTATACTTCATCGATTTTGATTAATGACAGTGGTGTTAGTGAAAAAGGGATGGCGACTTGGTGCTACTCCAGGACCAAGGTTCTAACTACTAACTGGGCTCTGCCAGCACTGGCGGGAGCATCCTTAGCTGACCTCCCCCAGGCCTCGGTTTCCTCATTCCGATCAAAGACGCTGCTGGTTCTCAGGTGCATTAAGTGAGACAAATGAAGGTGAAATGCACACGTGGTTGAGCGGCTGGCCCAAGGAAGGTGCACAGCGAGCATTCGTTAAGTAGAATTGGAAACGTGCTCTCCTGGGCCCCGAGAGACCCTTCCGGGCCTACGCAGCTGCACTGGGAAAAGTCAGAGCAGCTGGGCTGATGATGTTCAGGCAAACCAGGCCATGACGCTTCCAGGTTGAAATCCCCTCTGCTTAGATGGAGGATCTGAATTCCTGAGCACGATCCTGAGACCTGGGTGATCCTCTGCCCCTCTTGCCGCTTCAGTATCTTTTTCTGCTCACCTGCTTCCCTTTTTATTATGAAAATTTCCAACGGAAAAGTTGAAAGAAGAGCACACTGGGAACACCTCTCTTCACCTAAAATGCAGTTAATGTTTTGCCCTGTGTGCATTGTATGTTGCCGAGCCATGTAGAAGGAAGTTGGACACCTGGTGACACATCGCCCCTCAGGACCTGGGTGGGCATCTCCTAAGGATATGTTGCTTTCCCACATGACCTCCCTATCAATACCACATCTGAGGAAATTAACAGCAACTCCATAACTCCCTAGCTTGCTCACATTAACAGAACCATGGAGGTATCTTTTTCTTTGTTCCTCAAGTTCTTTTCTACCCCAGGGCCTTTGCAGTTGCTGTACCCATTCCCTGAAACACTCCTTCTCCAGGTTTTCCTCCTCTAGATCATTGTTATCCTTCAGGTTTTGGCTTAACTGTCATCTCCTGGAGACTTCTTGTTTTACCTAAAGATTTTTTTTTTAATCACTAGTTTCTTTCCCCATTTTATTATCTTCCCTTAATAAGTTACTGCCTGAGATTTAGTTTTTAGTTTGTGTTTACGGTCATTGTCTTATGTCCCTCTCCTCACTCCCCACCATGCATTAGCTGCAGCAGGGTAGGGACTGTGTCTGTTTGTCCATGAGCAGAACACTGCCTAGCACAGTCTGTCTTCCACAGATATCTGTTGAATGAATATCCTGTTTGTGACATTCAAACAGAAGAGCTGATACGGTGGAGGGATTTGTATCCTAGTGTTTCGAGATGGGTCCACAGTTTTAGTCAGCTCA